AAACATGAATACCAAAGATCATGTAATTAGCTAGCAGCAGTTACTTAAGAAGATTCATATATTAACACGTAACAAATGATGAACTGTATTTGGGTTTGATTCCAGATCATTGGCGTCGTATTTGCTCTGTGCTTGGCCAGTTCCATCAAGAACAAAGACCGACGAGGTAGGGTATAACAGTATTTGTGAACATGCAGAATTTAAAGTTAAGTTCATCTTTTGTGTATTGTTTGTGTAATATTTCATTTCTGTATGAATGAAATAGTTTTTAAACTGTTTTGTTTCCATTCCTTACATTGTCTACATTATGACATTAAAATAAATAAAACCTTTGTAAAGAAAAGAAGCTATAAGTGGCATTTCTTTCTTTTAATGAATTGTCACTGCAACTTCATTCCGTTCATAATTGGATGTATGAAAAGATTTTTCACTTATTATGTTTATATTTTATTAGTTTTTCAAAAGTATAAGTATTCTGTGTTCAATTAAAGGCTGAAGTATTTCGGTTCTCACTATCCCTGCACTGTAGTAGATCACAGTTATCGAATTTAATGATGGACAAACCACACCACACATTGAAGAAAGCCGTCTTCTGGGATGTGGCACCTTGTAGAAATTGTGTTAACCGACTTTTCGGAGGAACGTATGGCCTCCATCTTCAGGGTAGAAGACAAGAAGAAATCCTTCAGTCTGTTGCACCTGCTCTGCTGGTTCGCTCGTGGATTTCTTCTTGTCTTCTACCCTGAAGATGGAGGCGATATGTTCCCCTGAAACGTCGGTTAACAATTTCTACACGGTGCCACATCCCAGAAGATGGCTTTCTTTGTAGTAACCACCGTGAAAACCTCAAATCTTACACACCACACATTTAGAATTCATAGTCCCATGACATCCCTATTAGATTTTTAGATTTTGTCATTTCCATTGTTATATTAGACACGTGTTTCTCTGTTGGTTATTTAGCGACACTATCAGTAGCAAGAGACCGCCTCTGTGGTCTAGTGGTCCAGGGTGCCTGGCTACAGATCCAGAGATCCCGGGTTCGATTCCCGTAGCTACTAGATTTTCTTAGAAGTAGCAGGTCTGGAACGGGGTCCACTCAGCCTCGTGAGGAAAATTGAGGAGCTGTTTCAAGGAAATAGTGGCTCCAGTCTAGAAAACCGATACTAACGGCTGTGGGGATCCGTTGCGCTGACCACGCAACATCCTCTATCCGCAAGATGGTGGCACCAACTTCGCCGACAAGCGGCGGTCGCTCGGTCGGTATAGTTCGCTTACGGACTACAGGCCACGGAGTGTCGATAGGAAGACAATATGACGACAGGTGATAGGATTACTAGTAAATTGGAAGGACAGAACCCGACAGGTTGTCTCAGGCCGTAATGCAGTGTGACTTGTATTCAGGTATCCAATTTGGGTCTCGGTCAGGACACAGACTACTCCAGCTGGGGGTTTTCGTGGTTTTTCCGAGTCCCTCCAGGCAAATGTTGGGATAGTACCATAAATTAGATCACACTCTAATTATTCTTCCACGTCCCTTCCAATTCATCATCAGCATCTATGCTCTGTGTAGTCCTGAGTTCTACATGGCGTGGGATGCCGTGGGCAGGAGCGTGTCCCAAAACTGCGCTTTTGCGCATGCTTCGCCGTCAGAAAAGGAAATAGAATGCGATTCAAATGGTACTGCGAGTAGCGAGGTTGCATTTCCGCATGACCTGATATCTAGACATGGATTTGCCATTGGAACGCGCCGAGTAGGTTGGTGTAGCCATGAACCCTATACTTGTACTNGGGGGCTTCAGGTCTAATCTCGGCCAGGCAACCGACTGTCATATGACGGCTTTTTCGTGACTTTTCAGCGTCCTCAGGCAGAAGCCGGGGTTGTACCTTGATAGGCCACGACCGGATTTTCCAAATATAGTCTGAGATACTGACAGCATCGTAAAATAACCACAAATCACCCTCTCTCTCCAAAGAAAGGCCATTCTCAAACAGTTCTTCCATATTGTAACGTGTCTCGAGTTCGAAGTCTCGTTCGTCACGTGTGTAAGTTCTAATTCCACTTCTGACACCAATGTAGCGTGTTTGTGTGTCACGCTACAAATAAGTTGACACCGTCGTCTGATATATAGCGAATTTATTTCTTTCGCTCGCTTACACACACTTTACAGGCATTTTCACTTGCAGTGTCACAATCACTGCTCACAATATTCCGGCGATACTGGACCCAGGCGGATATTCCGAAGCTTCTTCTCCGATGGCTGTTCCGCGACTCACTCCTTCAAATGCTATCCCGAGACTCACTGTTTTTCGCTGAAGCTGGGCTACCTATAACCTTGCCCGCTGTTAGGCAACGAACCCTCCGTTATAACCATGGAGACTCCTGTTAGGATTACAATGGAGCAATTGTTGTCTCCTCTGTAACGGTCTATTGTAGCGTTTCCATGGAAGTCTCTTCCTCTGGTTTGCCGACACGTTACACTGCTCCCTTCTAAAGGTTGTTCGTCCCCGAACAGCCTAAAGGTTCTCCCTCGGTTTCGATTCGCGGTGTTCTGCTTGCCAGTGTCTGCATTCGGTCTTGGTGTCCGCTGGCATCTTCGTGCGGTGTCCGTCCAACCGCATCCGCCCCTCTCTTCGGTGTGCTCGTCCCAAGCACTTCCATGGTCCAGAATTTGTTTGTTGCCTTGTTTTACATTCATTCTCACTTTCATTCATCTTTGTTGGGGAGGCCGGTACTCTACCGGTTCCTCCCATAAGGGTCGTTACCCTTTTTCCGTTTTGGAGGGGGTCGACCCCTCCACAGTGTCCAGTGTCTAGTTTTCGGTAACTCGCTGGGAAGTCCCGCTGGTAACTTCACAAGTTTTAA